AACTCCATCTCATGGGATCGAGTTGCCAATTCTTCAAAAGTTCTTGGTTTTATGCCTTGGAGGATGTAATGTAACCCCCAGTGCATGCCTTAAACACATATCTCAATGGCGGAGGTTTTAGAAAGTCGATCATTGCAATCTAGACTTAATGAACGTCATCTATTGATGTAGTCGACGATAAGTTCATCATTCCACTGCTTTTTACTCGTCAGCTCCAGCATGTTTACGGTGTGACGAGTGTTTAGAAGTGGTTGAGGAATTCTCTTTCAAGCTGATCCAAGCTGTTGATGGACTCGGGCTCGAGGTTAGTGTACCAATCAAAAGCGTTACCTTTTAGCGAGCACACGACTTACTTGACAAGGTAGTCTCCATCCGTCCCAGCATTGTTGCAAGTTTCGATGAAATCGGCAATATGCTGTTTGGGATTGCCTTTTTCTATCGAATTGCATGAATTTAGGCGGCTCATAACCCCTTGGCTTCCTCAAGGCATCAATCTTTTTGGAATAAGGCTTTGAATACAACACGAAGTCATGTGAGCTTCCTTTGTACTGCACCTTGATTGTGCTTGTGATCATATCTTGCAGTAATTGGATAGAGAGAAATCCCATGAGTGTCGCAGCTCGGTCCACCTCCAGCTTTTCTTTAGGTTACTCCACCAGAGGCTCATATTTCTCATTAGTTTCCTCCTTTTGCAGATCAACCTTTGGGTCAACTTTCTCATCATGCTGCGCCTCCAGGTGGTTGACAAGTGTAACAATCTGTAAATCCTTTTCGTCTACGGTCATTGTCAGCCTTACGATTACATCGCTCATTTGTGCCAACTGCTCCTCAATGGAAGTTGCACCAGTAGTCATAACTTGCATGGCTATGGGATACGAGCTGCTGCTTGAGTCGGCATAGGAAGTCAACTACTCAGAGTACCTCCTCGGGCTTTCTTCCCTTGGTGCCCTTAGCGAGGCCAGGGTGATCACAAGCTCATGCCTCGGGTACTCTTTCTCCTTCAGCAGGGTTAATGTAGGAGTGGAGAGCACAACAAAGAGAGCTTTTGCCTTACTTCGGGTTGTGACGCCCAAAGTGCCACCACTTGTGGCAAGGATATTCTTGTTTTTCCCGTTTGTTGCAGAAACAGCTTGATACTTTCTTGATGCCATTTGTGATTCTTGCGGATTTGAAGACAGAGATGAGAGGCCGAGATGTGTTATAGGGCGTGCCAAATTTGTAAGCATAAAAATTCTGTATCGAATGAAACGAGAACACGTGTACAAAATATATTTGTATTGATGAATTTGTAGGGTTACAATCTCTGTTTACAATTTTCCTCTAATTCAGCCTTCAAATTTGATGTTGATGCATAGGTTGTTGATCTAAGGGTCACAATGACTTCATCTCGAACGAACTATTGAATGATTGCTTCAAGTTTTGAGCTTGAAACAATGCATGGATAGTCTTCACCTCAAGTTTAGGGCTGCGGAAAAGGTGATGTTGATGTAGGACTTTGTTAGGGTCTTGGCAACTTGTTCTGGAATCGAACATTGTTACAAGTTTTGAGCTTGTAACAAAGTCTTGAAGGGATCGGCACAAGTGCTGGTTGATTCTTCAAGGGAATCATCGACTTTGGTCGAGAAAAAAGCTTCAGCTTTGGTTGTACGTTCTTCGAATAGAGCTTTGGCAACGTATTAGCCTTCAAAGATTTGGCAGAGGTTCTCCTTTTGTGAAAATTTCGGCCTTGAATGTAGAAATTGTCGACCTTTGTTTGTCCTGGGACCTTGTATTTATAGACTTCTCAAAGCTTGCCTTTGGATGGAATTGGCCTTGATTTGTGTCTTGATTCGTCCATGGGAGAATTTAGGCATGTTTTGCGTCTTAATTTCAGCCACTTTCCCTTGCTTGGCCGAAATATATAAGGCTTTCTTGTCTATTTTGCAAGCAATCTTCAATTATTGCTTGTTTTGTGAAGATGTTTTAGCTTTCATTCTGGTTTTGGGAGCAATTTGGGCTCCTTGCCGATTTTAAGGAGATTTCTTCCCCTTTGCTGCATTTTATGAATGCTTTTGAGCTTCCTTTGCTTGATTTGTGCCACGTGTCATTGATGACTTGTCCATTTGTGATGAGTCATATGCCACGTGGAGCTTTGTGATGCATTATTTGCAAGCAACAAAATTTATATGTCTACAGATTGACTTGTACTTCATATTATATTATAATGAAAATAATGAATTTAAATTAATGATGCAATATAATTATTGAAAATAGATTTTTTGAAATTACTTCTTTTGTAAATCTGAAAGACTTACAAATGTTGACTATGGTACAATTTACTGAATGGACTAAAAATTGGTGCACGCAGACATCCTTCTTCTTCTAAAAATTAAAGTGTTTATAGTGTTTGTTTTCTTTAAATATAATGAAAACTCAAAGAAAATTTTGACTGAGGAAAAGATTTGGAAATTAACTTGTTTAACTTCTTCCTTGGAACCTTTCTTTTATAGACTTAAGAAAAGAAACTTGAATGATTAAGCTTTTTACTGTTGAACCACGGGGAGCTGCTGCTTTTTTTTTTCTTTTTTTTTTTTTTCTTACTGTTGATAAATAGTGAACTGTCTGAATAATTGTTGCAATTCCCATTAAATGATTCATGGCTTTTACTGTGTTAATGATGGCTTGAGTGCTTCACGTGGTGACTGACTATGTTTCACATGGTGACTAATTTGTGCTTCGCATTATGGCCTGAGTGATTCATGTGGTGACTGACTGTGTTTCACATGATGATTGACTTGTGCTTCACATGGTGACTTTCACATGATGGCTAACTTGTGAGTCACATGGTTTGATCATTCGAATTGATCTTGTGCATCTTGGTAGTCGGCCCACCTGGTACTTTGAGTGTTCGGCTTTACTAGTTGTTGTAATGATGCATTTGAAGATTCTTCGTCTTCATCAGACTGGCTGGGTTGGTTTAATTGCAACAGTAATTGAGCGGTTTGTGATTGTAACTGTGTTGCTTGAGCGAGAAATTTTTGTCCAAGGTCTTCAATTTCTACAACTTTGTGCTTCGATGTTATGACTTGGAAGATTTTGATTTTCCTTTTAGTGAGGAAGATGGGGAGATGTTTGATAATGATTGTGTCACAACAACTAGTTGTGAGTTAATAGGTAATTCACTAAGAACTTGGTCGATGATTCTTTGCTCATTGAACTTGTCCCACCATTTCACTGATCTGACTCTATGAACTTCTTCATTGTCTCATTCATACCTCCATTTTGAAATCCATGGGACTTTATATTTGGCAATGAAAATTAAAAGAAGTAGTATTTTCTTATTGAACTGACTTCTGTCGAATCTTGACTGGAAATGGTTGACTTTGTGCATGAACGATTATGGGATGAGACTGTTGTTGGGCCATGAACTGACCACCACTTGGAGAACCAAGCTGGGAGTATTGGTTGAAATTTCTTGTCAAAGTTGATAAACCAAGAGCGACTGAATCCTCATTCTGATAGAGGAAAATGTTGATCCATGCATTGATGTAATCATAATAATTATATTGAATATTTGATGGTTGAGTATGAAGGGACTTGTGTTTGTAAATGGGAATTCCCCATTCCTTTTCTGTCATGATTTTTCCAATGTGGAAATTATGGTGAAGGATGTTGTTTTCATCTGTGTGACTAGTGATGGGTTTAATGGTTATTGACTCGGTTTCAAAGAGAATATACATACATACATACATACATACATAATCACGTGTGTATAATATGTTATATTGTATTGCAGGTATCAGATTGGAGTTAGTTATCCATCTATACAATCCCCATCTAACACAATGAGCAACTTTGCTCGTGGGGAAGTGACAAGCTTGGCTTTCACTTACCTTCTTTTTGGTCATTTCCTACAAAGCATCAAGTTGGCACTTGTACACTTTTTAAGTGTTCAGCTCTTATTCGTTTAGAGCATCTCATAAAGATGCTGTAAAAATTTTACAACCAAACTCTATTTTAAAGAGTCAAATTAAACAAAAAATAAAAATAAAAAATATATATCTCCAACCAATTCTAGAAAAGAGCGTCTATTATAGCAAAACGAATGGTCACTCTTTAAATTTATAGAGCAACTGTTCATCAGTTAAATATTGAAAGGGTGGACTGTTGAGCAATGAGAAAAGGCAGAGGGAGTAGTTTTTTTAGAAAATGAACAGGTTGAGTTTGAATTAACTGAGTAGCTAAAATAGGTGTTTGACTAGTCACTTGCCAGTTTAACAAAAATTTAGAACTTCTCTTGGAGATGCTTAGCCATACGTCAATCTATAAGGTATCTCCAATTGGGGATTGCAATTTGAGATGCCAAAAACATATTTACATCCCATATTATATTTCCGGCATATGTAATGACAAAATCTACTCCAATGGGAAGAATGTAAATTTGAAATCCTATTTAGTTTTCTCTCTTTGATTAGTGAGACTTGCACCAAAAGAATTAATAATGAAGTTAAATTTAGTTTTTTATTTAATCTTTTGGTGAAGATAGATAATTTACATTTTTTGGCAAAAACAAAAAGATGTCAAATGCAGTCATTTTGAATCTCGTATTGAAAATGCCCTGTGTACCACCTATTTTGCTTATCCAATTTCTGATTTGGTTGGATAGCTAATAAGATTTTTTGAGTGCTAACAGTAATTTTTTTTTTTTTTTTTATCATAAATGAAATGACGTTTTGACAATTACCCCCAAAATCACATACAACGCAGGCTTGCCCAAGAAAATCATTTATTGGACAAAAGGACTCAATAAAAATATTTTTTCATATATTAAATAACATAACCACTTAGTCATACGGTCTATAGTGTTCCTTTTTTACTTGTTAGGTCCCAAATATAAACAGAAATGAACACCGAAGCATGCAGATACCGCAAGGGGGAGGAGGGTGAAAACGAAACGGAAGTGTAGACAAAGGTCATCTTCGTCTTGCAAAACCGGCCACAAAGAGCAGTGGAAGAAACCATTCCTGTAAAATCAGTTTGAATTGCAACACAAGGGCGCGTCTAAAAGGCCCCGGAAGTTAAAATCCTAGAACAAAATGATGTGATAGTTGATCACGTACAAGCCATGCTATTGCTTCCTATTTTCTGGGAGGCAAGTAATAGTGATTGTAATAGTGTTACATACACTTGAATCAACTTCTAGCCTACTTAAAAAATCTCTAGTACCTTTGCCGCTCAATCGTACAACCCTTCTTGCTCCCAAATATCCACGAGAAAATCTACCATTTCCTGTTAATGTCGGAACCAGGAAAAAAAAATTAGATAGTGTGTTTGTAAGGATAACAGCGGGCAGGCAGGGGCAGGGGCTCACCGGGAGAGGGATAGGCTGAGGGAAAGGCTTTGTACTCCCAAGTAAACTTTCATATGACGCGTTCCAACTGCAAAGGCAGAATGATTTAACCATGCTGAGACAATGAGTGCTGACAATGTACAGAAAGGTACTCATGAATACCCATTGCCTACTTTACACTTTACTGTGAACCAAGCACTCAACGTGCTTGGACAACTTCCCGGTCCCCATTTATGACATGCAACGAAACTTAGAATGAAGAAATCCTTGTATGGTGTTCTCATAAATAAAAAAACTAGCATTATTGGGGAAAAAAATGCTTTTAATTTGTTTATTTTTGTACAATGCATTGATGAAAATGTGAAATTGTCCTCAATTGTCTAACATGTATCTGGTTAAACATAAGTAAGAGGTCCAATGAGCAAAATAATTCTTTCTGGCTGATCTAAACATATCGTGAAGAGGTCACCGGAAATGGTAGATACTCTCTAGTCCTAGTGTTTGAGGCAAAAACTCTACAGTTGTCAGATTTTGAACAAAGACAGGGTGTAAGTCTGAATGTCTTTTCCGTTCAACACTGATGGCGAAGCGGCAGACAATCTCACTATTCACTTGGAGGACAACTCCGATGTTTGATAAGGTGTAAGTCTGGCTAGTTTCTTAATAGCAGAAAAAGAACCACTCGCTGGTAGTGTCAAGAATGCCATCCGAAGGGAGTGGAGAAACGTCGTTCATTGTGATGATGTGAAAATAGCTTGGGCCAACCCCAATGTCTACACGATTACAGTTGAGTCGAAGGAGGCGGCACACTGATTAGTCGATAAGGGCCCGTGGTATGTGAACAACGATGTCTTTTCCGTTCAACATTGACCTCTGAATTACTCACTAGATGAGATTGTAACGTGTAAGGCGGCATTCTGGATACAAGCTCATGGCGTTCCCCTTGGTCTAATGACAAGTGCAAATGCTGCAACTATTGCCAATCGAATTGGGTGAATGATTTATGTGGAGGATCCGTGTCGCACAGGTATCGGATTCTTGCGAATGCAAGTCGAGGTTGACACAGCAAGACCTCTTCCGATAGGATTCATGTTGCCTAGAGAATTTGGAGGCAAGACGATGATCCGCCTAAGATACGAAGGTCTGAGAAAATTCTATTATCGTTGCGGAAGACTAGGCCATACTGACCGGAAAGAGCACCCATGTGAATATCCACTATGTCTGTTGGTAACAAAGGAAGGCCTGGCATATAGGAGAGACATTTGTGTTGAGGCGATGAAGGGCTCAGCACCGTTGTTTCCTACCAAAATAGGCAAAAGGTCAGGTGGTCAACATGATGGTTTAAACTTTAATCATTGGAGGCATCGAGCAGAACGAGAAAACGATGGTCTCCACAAAAATCGAATCAATGGCGAAACTCCTCCTCCGGCTACCGGCAAGATGGTGATTCAGGATGACTCAAGCGTTACGAACGAGTTAACTCAAGCAGATAGCACGGGCGTGGGTAAGCGTGCCAGTCATAATGACTCTTTGCAGCAGGTAGAGGTAATCATGATGCCTTAAAAGAGGAAAAACCAGTCATTAACCCCCGAATGTCTTCACAAATCATGTTCCCACCCAAGTTATCTCTGGTTCTTCGACATACACATTGTCAAGGATCGATCCTATCAACAGCCTTATCCCTAATTTGCAGTCAACTAGTCATCCTAACCATGCATCTCTTCTCACATCAATCCCCAATCACCCCAACTCGAGCCCAACAATGACATATTCAGATGATACCCGTGAACCCCACTCTCCCACTAAGGTTTTACACAACTCTATAAGCATCACCCCCACGTGTCCATTTCTCTTACCTCTTAACACCCATACCGAAACAAAGCCACCCCCAAACCAAAAAACTAGGACCCACTGCCTAGATGACCCAAATATCACATTTACCCCAACTACAAAGCCATTTCTTTTACCAAGCCCACAATCCCCAAAACACGATGAACCCTCTCTCATCTTTTAGGAAAAAAGGAAAGAAACCCATTCCCAAAACCCAAACAAAAGGGCCCAAAAAAACCAAAAGCTTTAACCCAGGACCATAACTCCGACAATCAAATACAAGGGGGATGAGAGGGAGAGGGCGTGATAGAGGAAAAGGATGGAGCCATCTTGAAAGTTCAGTATTCAGTGATGGACAATCAAATTTTGTGACGGAGGGAAATCTAAATGATGTGAGAATCGATATCTCGCAGAATGTGGAGAGACACCAAAACAAAATTGATGTTGATCCTATTGGAGTAGTGGGTGGATTGAATCTTTGGTGGAATTCTAATATGTCAGTTCAAATTCTATCATCTTCCCAGTTCTTTATTAACACAATGATCTCTTTCTCTTCTGGTGGTACTCAAATCGGGGTGCCTTATTTCTATGGTCCGCCTCACCAAGTGGACAAAGCCTCTTTCTGGGCATCAGTTATGAACATGGGAAGAAGTATTTGTGGTCCTTGGATGGTGGTATGAGATCTCAATGAATTGGTTTGGCATCATGAAAAGGAGGGTGGAAGCCCTTGGCGTCCTAGTAGAATCTGGTATCTCCGTGATTTTGTTGAAAATAATAACCTCTTGGATTTGGGATTTAGTGGACCCAAATTCACATGGGCACGAAAAGAGGATGGTGTGACAATTTTACAAGAACGGTTAGACCGGTTCCTTGTTAATGAAGCATGGATCGATCTGTGGCCCGACTTTACAGTTTATCATGCCCAACGTATCGGTTCCGACCACAACCCAATTTTTCTTGATACTCTGCGACATACCCCAAAAACCAAAAAGTTGTTCAAGTTTGAAGCTTTTTGGGTGGACGATCCTGATTGTAAGAAGATTGTCGAGCAAGGGTGGAATGAAGGTAATCGAAGGGGAAACTTGCAGCGTTGGAATTCCTCTTTGAGCCAATGTTGGAAACGTCTGGTCCATTGGAGCAAGGCGAAATTCTCAAATGAGAGAAAGAAAGCAGTAGAGTTGCTAGCTAAGCTCAATCACATACAGGCAAGCAACACCATCAATGATCAGAGAGATGGAAATTAATGCTCAACTGTCTGATATTTGGACTCGTGAGGAGACATATTGGAAACAACGCTCCCGAATTCAATGGCTGAAGGAAGGCGATGTAAATACCCGTTTCTTTCACCTTTCAACAAAAACAAAGAAGTTGGAACCGAATCACTTGTATTGCTAGCGACGAAAGGGTATGGGCAGAGACCAATGTTGCAATTAGGAATACCTTTGAAGCATTTTATAAGAGTCTTTACTCTTATGATGGTTCTAGAGATTGGGTCCAGTCTTTGATTGCATTCAACCATCGGTAACAAACAACATAAATCAGATTTTGTGTTCTCCTTTTACATACGAAGAAGTTAAAGGAGCAACTTTTCAGCTGGGTTCTTTGAAGGCTCCTGGACCGGACTGCTTTCCGGGGCTCTTTATCATCATTTTTAGGAAACTATTAATCACACTATTGTTAGCACAGCAGTTGATTTCTCTAGGGGTTCTATCACGTTGAACCATATTAATAAAACACATATTGCCCTTATTCCCAAAGTTCCCAATCCTGAAAATACTAGCCGGTATCGCCCCATTAGCCTTTGCAACAACTCTTACAAGATTCTATCCAAGATACTTTCAAACAGATTGAAAACCATCCTCCCTAACTGCCAAATACAAGATAATTTGTTAATAGCCCATGAGGTTTTTCACTACCTCAAGTTGAAGAGGAAGGGTGGAAAGCATGAACTGGGCCTTAAACTTGATATGCACAAAGCGTATGACCAGGTGGAGTGGGATTTTTTTGGAGGAAATGATGGTGAGGATGGGTTTTAATGGGGCGTAGATTCGGTTAGTCATGGGCTATGTGACTACTATCTCTTTCTCGGTGGTGATCAATGGGAAACTAAGGAACTATTTTGTTCCTACAAGAGGTCTTAGGCAAGGGGACCCTTTATCACCCTACCTATTCCTCCTCGTGAGTGAAGTATTGTCCCAAAACATTGTTTGTGCTACTAATCGTGGTTTATTGCAGGAAGTCAAGATTAGTTGTAGCGGACCAATTATTTCCCACTTATGGTTTGCCGATGACTCTTTCATCCAAGCAAATGAGCTGAACAGCAGGATTCTTATGAACATTTTGGAGAACTATTGTCATGTATCTGGGCAAAGAATTAATTACACAAAATCTTCCATCTTCCTCAACCAAAATTGCCCTTCCAAAGTTACCTCATTGGTCTACTCTTTGTTCAAAATTGCTCATTCCGAGGACACTGGGCGTTACCTTGGCATCCCATCAGTATGGGGGAGGTCTTAACACGATGCACTAACCTAAGTCCAAGATAAAGTCCTTAGCAAAATACAAGGGTGGAAAGCTAAGACTCACAATGGCAGGAAGAAAAGTCCTACTAAAGTCTATAGCACTAGCAATCCCTACGTATCCTATGTCATGTTTCAAGTTCCCTGTGGCCACTCACAACTTTTTGAATGGAGCCTTGAGCAACTTTTGGTGGGGTGAATCTGAAACAGAGAATAAAATGCATTGGAAAGCTTGGAAGGATCTTTGTGTGGCCAAGGATAAAGGGGGCATGGGCTTTAGAGACTTGGAACACTTCAACAATGCTCTTCAAACCAAGCAATGCAGGAGGTTGTGGGAAAATCCTAATGCTTTATGGGTTCGGGTTTTGAAAGCCCGTTATTTTCCTAATGGGGATTTTCTTTCGGCTACTAGAGGAGCATGACCCTCATGGGCATGGAGCAGCTTGTTACATGGTTGGGAGATATGGCACGGTGGCTCTAAATGGCAGGTGGGTGATGGCACTAAGATAAGAATATGGCGAGACAACTAGCTAACTCGTTTGGAGCAATCATGCCTTACTCCCTCCATGATTGTCCCTAGACCTATTCCAACCATGGTAGAGTTGTTGATTAACAAAGAGAGGAGAATGTGGAACTGGGAGGAGATTGTGCATATTTTATCAACTCATGATATTGAGCTCATTTTAACCATACCCTTGCACAATATTAGTGAATTTGACAGGTTGGTATGGCCTTGGAATCGAAATGGGCAATATTCGATTTGAAGGTTATCATTGGGCAATGTCAAAGCATGCTAGCGAGCCTCCTGGTATTAACCCTCACCAATCCCACCAAGTGGATCCGAAACTATGGAAGTTAATATGGAGTATGACGACAGTACCGAAAATCAACTACTTTCTATGGAGAGCTATTTCAAATGCCATTCCTACAAAACACAACCTGTTCTCTCGACACATTGGCATGGACCCTAGATGTTCATTTTGTGGTACAGAGGATGAAACCTTAGAACATATAGTTCTCAAGTGCCCGTGGGTGCACTATGTGTGGTACGGCTCTCACTTATGTTATCGCCCCAATAATCAAGCAATTACCTCTCTTGATCGCTGGCTTCTATGCATGGCTACGATGGGATCTGCATCTTCAAGGGATGCTATCTGGTTATATATTGGGGTGATATGTTGGGAGATTTGGAAAGAACGATGTCATGCAATTTTCAAGAAGGTGGCTCCCAACCCCATCTCTGTCTTAGCAAGATGTAAGAGTATGTACAATGACATAACAAATACACACCAGGCTCCCATCAATTGTTAGTCCAGAGGACCATTCAATTCATAGGTGGATCCCTCCGGTGGACCCATACGTAAAGGTTAACATTGATGGGGCTTGGAACTCTTCCACAATGGAAGCTGGAGTGGGAGTTGTTATTCAAAATTCTAGTGGTGAACTCACTTGTGGTGAGTCCAGTTTCTTGAAGAGAGCTTCAGTTGAAGAGGTTAAAGTTGAAGCAGTATTAACAGGGATGAAACTAGCTTCAACAAAAAACTTCCAGCATGTTATGATTGAGAGTGATTCTATGGTGGTCATGGAGGCCATCAATTGTCCTTCTCACAGCAAGATATGGTGAATTTACCCCATTATCGCTGAGATTCGACGATTGGCATCTCATTTTCTTCAGTAACTTGGACTTGGACAGCAAGGTCGTCCAATCGAGCAGCTCATTTGGCAGCTGCACTTGCCAACTCGAGGGTGAGACGCTTCCAATGGGCTTCAACGCCCCCCTCCCTCTTTGGTTCTGGTACTTTCACGTGATGGACTCCCATGTCCTCTGCCATTGGTAGTCTGAAGGTGGCCACTCCATTGCCATCCTCTATTTTTTGTATGCCTTAATGGCTTTTTGTAGCTAGTGTTATCTTCTCTTCTTGAGATTTACTTTCTCTGTATGGTTGGTATCACTATGTATCCCTAGCTGGGATCAGAGTCTTTTATGACTCCACTTGTACTTGTTATCTCTTTCAATATATTTCCTCATTTTTCCCAAAAAAAAAAAAAAAAAAAAACATAAAAGGTACAATAAGTTTGAGTCGAAAAAGAATAGAAGCAGCAACCTACCTTAATTTGGGTTCTCGAATTTTCTTTGACGGGCTGTCAGACTTTTTATTCCCTATCCAAAGGTGCCTAGTCTGGCTCCAGAGAAGAAGACCTGCACCACAGATACCATGTAATATAACTTTAACAAGGCTCCACACACACATTTGTCAAAGCAAAAAAAAAAAAAAAAAAAAAATGTGATAGCAAGATACAAAAACTGACAAGAACCACAGTGTTAAACCATTCTTGAAATCATAGAAAGTACAGTGACTGTAAATAAAACCTTCCAAGATCACATCTGCAATGAAATTTGGTAGGCAAAAGTTCAGAAAAATTTGAGAAACGGGCTACTAGTAACACATAATTATTTGACTCCATTACAGGTAAGATACTGCCAAAGCAGCTCAGTCCTTTGGAATGTCCATGAGGAGTCCGTATAAGACCCACCTGATAGTGAGTCATTAAACAAATTTCCAACGTGTAGAAACTATCTCAGAAATTTGAACATAAAATTCTCAGAAATTGATAAAACCATAACAAGAACAAATAAATAAAAAACTTGCCATGATTTACAAATTCGGCAGGGGTGCTACTGCTGCCAGAGCCACCATGTGGATCAAGGATCTGGTTTGTGCTGATTGATGAGATGCTTCCCTGGGACTGAACTGCACTGTTGTCCATATCCCACGTGCTGGTGGTCCAAAAATCCTCTGATATGCTTGGTTTCTTTACAGTCCGACCTTCGTTTAATAACCCTCTTGGTGGCTCATTCACTGAGGTTTTCAGTGCGGTCTTACTATGGCATGCTAGACAACCACTGCTCTGTTACAAACCACATCTCATTCTGTTAGAAATAAAAAATAATTCTAAAATTTAACAACACCAACAATACTAACTAAACATAAAAACAAACCTGTACAATACAGTAAAAACTACAGGACCCTAGTCAAAGTCCCCACGATAAATTCGCAAAACATCACCCCAAGAAAGTTTCTCCAAACACAACTAGAAAAGGAAAAGATCAAAAATTAAAATTAAAATAAAAAATAAAAAAAAAGAACTTTTTTTTCCTTCAAAATGATAAGAACTGGCATTGTCAATACAAATCTATAGTGTGAGGTGAACACTGAACAGAAAAATGTCCTTGACGATAATTAAAAGGGGCTCAAAATAAGCAAAAAAGAACATGATTCCATCGCACTGACATAACTCCAGCTCCTGGTATCAGTACTAGCCAATAGTACTTTGCTAAAACTCTTAATCAGAATATGCTTACAGCCAAATTCCAAAAGCCAATTCAACGAAAGAAACATTATGCAACAGCTCTATTAGATATCATCCAAATATAGTCAATCAATCAACATCCAATGACCAAAGAGATGTTAAATCTTTGCCGATTGGCATCTGATTGGATTGACTTTAATCTAACTGAATTCAACTATTGATATTTTTTTATCGAGTCCAACTGTATAAATTCCCAATTGCCATGTGTTTCTGTTGTCACAAAAGACTAAGAGGGGTGTACTCAATTGAAATTTTGATGTATTTTAACAGAATTGAAGTCTATGAATTTTAATGGATTCATATAGACTCCACATGAATTTTAATGGATTCACATAGACTCCACATGAAATTTTAAGAAATTTTATATGGATTTTGTTATGATGTTTAGTGGATATTAATGAAGCTTTTATAGCATTTATGGAGGATCCTATCAAGTAACGATGAGGACGCCAAAAGGAAAGCAGACAAGAAAGGAAGATTTCTACAGTGATGAAGGGGAGTGGTATTGCCAAGTACAACATGTATATGGGTGATTATGGCATACCAAGATCAGGCAAGGAAATTGAATACAAAAAAAGATCAGGCAAGGAAATTGATGATTAGAAATTGATTGAGTTAAATTGGGATTTTAGGGTTCTCTAAAACAAATAATAAACAAAATTGGCCATGAGTAGAACACAAGAAAATTGCTGATTACTGGTTGTCTTCCTTGAAGAGAAACAAGATAAAGATTTGGCCGTACAAAGAAGACAGAAATTGAAAAAGAAGTTTGTATATTTCTGGACGTGTTACCACTACATGTCTGCTTAGAAGAAGAGTTCGTTCATTTCCAAGTCTGCTCGTATTTTATAGAGGAAGGAATCACAATGAAATCTTAGGGTAGAGCCGTAGAGGCATGATTTGTGAGGGCTTTTCTTATTTCTATTTTCTACTCTAGAATCCACCAAAATCCTCCAACTCCTAGATTCCTACAAATTCACTGAATTTTAAATACAACCAGATTTTGAAACATTTTTAAGAACTCGGGATTGAATACCACCAGATTTTCACAGACTCTTTAAAAATCAAGATTGAATACTACTAGAGTTTGACAGACTCATTTAAAATTAAAACCTAAATTGAATACAGTCTGAAAAGATTTTTAACCTTACTTAACCACATACAATCATAATAAGTTGGTGAAATTCCTAAAACTAAAATGCCAGTATAAAACCCAAAATCCCAATTCCGATTCATCAATTTTTGACGCAACAATGCAATCCATTTACTCTTCCACGCATCCCAATCAAATCAAGTACAACAGTATCTAATTAACTCACAAAAATAATAAAAATGGAGAAACCCCAGAAATCCCATTAAACCACTCAATCCAATGGAATTACCAAATCCAGAAAAGGATTCAGAAAACTTACCCCATGCATGCAATACAAGGAAGACCCAGAAAGCAAAATCAGATCTACTCCAAGGATTTTCCTAGGAAAATGTAAAATCAGCAACAAAATCCGATGGAAAACAGATTGCAGGAAAGAAAACCAGAGAGCCCCTCCTGAGAATCCAAAGAAGAAGATAACGCATGGGTCTCAACCCAACGATTGAAACTAATCAAAAACAAAAGATGGAAAGAAAAAAATAAAAGAATATTTGATGAACAGCGACTGACCTGTGAGAAAATATTTCTTCTTTGATATCAGTCTCTTGCTTTCATTCCTGATATCGAAATCCAAAGGCATACACTTCCTGAAGCAAACAAGCCCAGAAGGGATGGCCCTTTGGATTGTTCGAGTTTCCCTTCTTCTGGTTCTTCGATGGCGAATGACAATTATTGGGAAGCGGAAGAAAAAACGTACGACTGAGATGGAAAGTTTACATAATGGAGGAGAATCTCTCCCTCCTAATCTCTCTTTCCTTCTCTCTTCTCTTATTTCAACGGCTACGATTTAACCACATCATCATCTTATATTAATTTTTTATAAAAATAATAAGACAAAAAAACAATGTAAAATGATGGGAATAGAAAGGAAGAGAATCATACTCATTACATAATCCAAAGGGCTTGGACTTGTAAAAGAATAAGGATCCTGGAGATCCTCAAATCGTATCTATTCATCATACATCGTGCGATCAGAAATCATTTTAAATATTTTTATTTTAAATTTTTATAAATAGTACCTGACGAAAACTGATTTCACGATATACGATGAACGGATACGATTTGAGGATCCTTAAGATCCTCACAAGAGCATCCAGAGAGGATCCTCCTGGCTTGTAAAAAACGTTAAAAATAGGGCTTGGACTTGTGTTCCCTAACTTACCGTACCTGGTTTTTTTGTGACGTATATTTAATTGAGGAGTATGGCATAGAGAGAAAGATAATGAAGAATAGGCTTGAAGAATTGTGTGTTAATTCTTGAGTCCTTGGGCCTTTATTTTTAGTAATAAGGACGAGAGAAACTTGCTCTCCAAGTAATACAAAGCCTATTAGGAAAGATCTTCTAGATCCCAAAGGATTCATAATCTATCTCTACTTAGGATTTACCCAAAGGATTCCTAATCTATCTCTACTTAGGATTTACACATTCACAATATGTATTAGAACATATGCCACAGCCCTTAAGTGTGCAAATAGTCAAGTAGATAGCGCATCAAATCTTCAAGCAAATGTAAAAGCAATTGATGAAGTCGTCTCATCTAGCCGGCACAAATAACGAATGCAAGTCTCAAAACAAACAGAAGAATGCATGGATGGTAAAACTCACAAAACTTACTATGGCAAAACCCATGGTGGGACAAAATCCCATAGTCAAATGAGAAAAGTGAGAAGTTGCATTAAGTTAAAACTATACATCTTCGGGACGCAAGTAGAACGTACACAAGGGTATGACCAACCCAAGATGGGTGCCTCATTAAAACCTAGTCAAATAGCAAAAACCCAACGGGAAAAATGCTCCTAATCGCAGGGAAAAAGAGTACATTAAGGTCAAGTGAGTATACTTCTAGATGCTTCCCCTAAGTTTGGCAAAACTTCCAAATGAAACTAGAAGCATCGTAAGTGAGAAAGTTACGCATACCAATTCCTTGGACAAGCTTTTGGAAGGTAGACTTCGACAGTGACGTCGTGTGGACGTCGGCAAGGTTGTCTGGGATCGGACTGCTTGACTTCAATCTTCTGATGATCATGCTGATGTAGACATAATATGCTTGGCATTGACTTGTTGAGATGTATCATAATCTGGTCGATACATACAGCTTTGTCTTCATGCATTGTTATTGGGACTTAACGAGGGACGAAAATTGCAAGGAGTTCTAATATGCTCAACAAGAGTTCTCGACCATATCTTTCATGTGATGATGTACAATGACTCTTGGAACGATTCAAAGGTTTCGCAACAAAGGTCTATCTGGTTGACCTCCAAGATATTGCAGTGTTCCTTAATGGTAAAGACATAACCATTCGGGAATATACCTTGTGCGGTCATATAGATAGTCTGATTTGATGAATCCCACAAGGTAGGCATCATTCCAATGATCAAAGGGGTCTAATCTGGCGAATCCCACAACGTAGTAATGAAAAAACATCTTTAACACCAATTTGATGGTAGCGTGTAGGCGCAGTGCTGCTTTATGCCAAAAGATTATTAGCATATAAGATGTCTGATCTAGTGCATTGAGCTAAGTACAACAAACGCTAATTGTACTTAGATATGGTTACCTCACATTCAAATATGGAACCTTATGCTCCATATCCTCTGTAAATGTCTCATTTGCATCTAGTATACAAACAACAGGGTATACTCAGACATAACACCTTCTGGGTCTAGTTCGAGTGGTGAACCAGAATACCATTAGAACTAGCTCAAAACTTCAGGTCAAAGTAATGTCAAGTTTTCCCAAGATCATTCATTTTAAAGTCCGACTTTAGATGCAAATTAGTTTTCTCAACTCTAGCCATTTCGGATTTTGTACATGTAGGGGCATATATCCCTAACTGATCAAATATTCACTTAAACGGGTATACCACATCCGCCCAGATAATTCTGCATCCGCAAAGTGAAGGCCTCTTGAGAACCGAGAGGGTGTTCTTGTGATCTAGAACTATTTGAATCAATACATGTAAGTCTTTTGGAAACTCCATGTAGGTGTCGTATTAGGGTCCCAGAGATACTATAACCATGTTTGTAATGCTGCAATCAATCACATGGCATATGAGAGAAAACTTACGCCACAAGGCATCATATCGCACTATTTCATTCATCTCATTCATCATCAATTGATTCCTCTAGTTGACCAATCAGTTCTACGTTGACACTAATCAACAGAATGCGATTCGTTATTGTCGTTTTTCATTTATGTCGGTAGTTACCATATAAATGAAATATCAACTACGATAATCTTATTCCAATTCCATATCTCATCCAAACTAGTATATTGGACCAAGAACTTCAGATATTGGGAGTAATCCGGATTTAATCTCATGAGATGGAAAAGACTGAGACAGTGATTAAGGGGCGGATTTGTTCATGTCATGTTCCTCCAATTTGGGGGAAGTGAATCCTCGAACCGAGTGATCTACCACACTTCTAGTGCAAGACAAATTGATTGGCTAGCCGCCAATGTAAGAAGGTCGGCCATAATAGTGGTGTTCCTGCTTTCAGGATGAAGGTCCGTCGTACATTTGGTACACATCTTTGCAGGCATATTTGCAGCTGGTATACGTGATCTTGTCACTTTTTACTTCATCAGAGGAAGTGTCTGGTTATACTTTGACAATCTAGATTAGGATTGAGATGAGACATAGTGGGGACGGCCATGATAATTCGCGTCGTTCTGTCAAAACGTTGACGTTCTTATCTCCACTTAACGATAGGAAGACTGTTTCATAAAAGTGATAATCCGCAAAACAAGCATAAAGAGATCGCTTGTCAAAAGTTCTAAGTAACAAATATTGGAATGATAATCATAACTGATATAGATTCCCATCCTTCCCTGAGGACCCTTTTTTTTCTTTTGTACGTAAGGGTGGCGCAAATGGCACATAAACCACACAACCAAAGACGCGCAGATGGGATATGTCAGGTTCGTATCTGGTAACCAACTAACACACGCTTTATAAGGTTGGGTTGTGACGGGCCTCAGGTGGACCAACATGGTTACTTGCAATATTGCATGGCCCTAAGCAGAGATCGATAACTTGGTACGTATGACCAACGATCGCACAGTCATTTGAAGGCATTTAATGAATGCTTCTGCTAGGTCGTTCTGGGTATAAACATGGGGTACTTGATGTTCAACTTCAAAACCCAACCGACATGCAATATCCATCGAAAGTTTTCGATTTAAATTCTCTAACGTATCCAATCAAATAGATTCGATCAGATAATCTGGGTGGTGAGCCATGAGCTTGTTAATCTGAGCCACCAATGTGGAGAATGCAGTTTATGGACAACAGCCACACGTGTGACCAATGTGTAGAAACATCAACCAATACTATAAAGTATCAAAATTGTCCGTATGGTGGTTGAATCAGTCCACAAATGTCCCCTTGAATTCTTTGTAGAAAAGATGGAGGGTGCTAAGGCATGATACGTGTCTAGGTATGATATCTTTACTTCTAATAAAAGGATGCTTAAAACGGCTCATCACAGATCATCCTAAATATCCCAAACATACATCCATAGTGAAAATTGCTTTGGAATCTCGGGCTTCTGGCCAGCCACATAGTTGGCCTGAATGGATGTAATCTACTCGTTAAGTATTCCATCTTCTCTAGAATACACTTCTGGCTATATTCGTAGGAAGTGCAATATGGTAATATGCAAAGGAATTTTACTCCATTTTCTACATTGGTTTCAATATGGTAATAATGCTCTCGAATATCCTTAAAGCTCAAAAGGCGTTCTTCCAAAACGAGTGAGTATAAGGATTCCCTTTATGGTAAAATTAGTACCATTAGACAATATAGGGCAGTGCCATGCCCCACAATTAGGTATGAAGTTAGCATAGAACCAGACTGCTAACTTCCCCATAAAACATACCTAAGCATAAGTTAATTTTATTAGTCATATGTGGTAATTTTCGTTAATTAACTCTTATTGGAGAATAATAGTGACAACCAAACACCAATCTTATATCCAAGAAAAAAATAAATTATTCACAAAGTAAACCAAATATACAAGGAGGTTCAGCCAATACAGCCTTCCATGTCAAATTTCGCTCTCTATACTGCTACTTCATGAACAATTTAGATATAGAAGAATGAGAAAGATTTTCTTCCAGTCAAAATTTAATCAGATATAAACTTCAGAATTGTACTTATTCATGGACGTAAAAAAAAGGTTTCAATCATGTTTTGCTTTGGGCAAGAATTCATCTTTGCATGATTTGAAACGGTCCATAGAGAGTCAAAGAGCCATGGAGTCCTTGGCAGTGAAGTACTTCCATTTGATATGCTTCAAGCATAAGTTTTCAAATGAAGATCATGACAGAGGCTTATTCAGCTCTTCCACACCATAACTGGCTACAATGATTTCGCAACTAGTCGTAGTCAAGCAGGGTGTCACGTCTTGTATCCACATAAAGTAGTTTCTTGTTCGAAACTTCCAAATTAGTGAAATCGAACTTGTTACGATTTGACATTATGCTGAATGGCGAAAACAAGAACGTGATTGGTGTTTTAGGAAATAAAATTTCCATAAACATCAAAGTTAGAATATTCAGGTTCTAAGACATGGTTTGATTTAAACGGATTTAAGCATGGAGAACTTCGGGTCTCAATATGAGTGTTGCGCGTTAAGAAACTTCAAGTTTCCATGGCACTTTTCTGAAACTTCGGGTTTGGAAGTATGAACTTCGGGTTCATAAAAC